GAAACCTAAGTAATTAGCCAACTCTCACAGCTGCGCAGGGCAAGAAGAAATCACATAGGCAATTCTCTTATGGTCAGGTGTAACAAGATCAATAAAGATTACTAACCAAGATCAAACTTCCAGTTAATGACACATCACTAGCTCCTGACTCCTAATTCAGTGCTCCCTTGATTAAGACTCTAATAGTTTACCAAAATGGAAAAAAATAAAACAATTCTGATATGCTTAACCCTCAAACTAGATTTTAAAATCAAATATAAAACAAAAATAGCACAGAATTATCATAGAATTGAATATTATTAAAATAAATGCAGGAATCCTTACATTTGGAGTCCTGGCGTTAAATGCAAGGTCTTTTACATTTTATGACTTGACTGTAAGGTCGGTTTGAATTGCAAAGTCAGCAGTTCAAACTCACCAGCTGCTCATCTGAAATTACTGAATTTAGCTACTTAAGCAACATTGGTTTGAGAAAAAATTCCATTACTTTTAATTCCATTTTCCCACGAACTTTTTGAAGCCCCCTCTCATCGATCATTCTTAGAATCTCTCTTTAAAATTTATAAAGGGTGGACTTAATAAGACTGTTGTTAAGTGCTGCCAGAGTTGTTTCCAACTCATTTGTTGTTAAGTGCTATGGAGTCAGTGCCGACTCATGTTGTTGTTGTAGTTAAGTGCAGTCAAGTCGGTTCTGGCTCATAGTAACCCTGTAAAGGATTTCCGAGGAGTGTCTGGTGAGCTTGAATTGCCAACCTTGCGGTTCAAACTGACTTTGCAGTACAGAGCATTATCCTTCAGTGCCACACCAGAACCAACCTATATATGGTTTCCGAGGCTGTAAATCTTTGCAGGAGCAGAAAGCCTCCACCATTCTTCAGTGGTGTGGCTGCTGTGCTTGAACCACCAAACTTTAGGCTTGCTTGCACTCCAGTGCTTATCTGTGTGCCCTAATAAGAATGTTGTTGTTGTTGTCAGGTGCTATCAAGTCAGAACCGACTCATAGTGACCCCATGCAGAACAAAACAATGTCCGATCCTAGGTCAACCCCACCACCGCTGCCACACTTGACACCATCAATGATGTCACCTGGCTGATCCATCTGATTAGAAGTCTTCCTCTTTTTCTCTGACCCTCCATCTTACCCAGCAGACATCCTTCTCCAGCGACTGTTCTCTCCTGACAATGTGTCCAAAGTCTGAGAGACTAAGCTTAGCCATCCTGGCCTCCAACGAGCCCTCTGGCTGCAATTGTTCCAAAACAGATCTATTGGTTCTTTTGGCAGTCCATGGCACTTTCAGTATTCTCCTCCAACACCACAACTCAAAGGCATCAATTCTTCTACGATCCTCCTTATTCACCGTCCAGCTTTCGCATCCATATGAGGTTACTGAATGGTGGATGGCAATTTTTTTACGGCACAGTTCCATTACTTGAAGTTTCAACCTTCTGACCTATATAAGGTCATCAGAATTACCCATGTACTGGACTGAGAACCACAAGGTCGGCAGTTCAAACCTGCTCCATGGAAACCTTATACAAGGTTGCTATGAGTTGGAACCAGCTCAACTGCACTTAACAACAACAAAAATAACAATTTATAAATAGCACAGTGGCTCTGTAGGATAAACACTGGACTGTAAACCACAGGTCGGCGGTTTAAGCCCACCAGGTACTCCAGGGGAAAAAAATGAGGTTTTCCGCTTCTGCAAAGATTTACAACCTCAGAAACCCTATAGAGTCACTCTGAATCGGAACCAGCTCAAAGGTAATTAACAATAATTTGTAAATGTAAAGGGCTTAAATTAAACTTTAAGTATGTAATACTTTAAATCAAGTACTGAAAGTCATATTTTCATAACACTTAAAGTATATAACATCACACGTTCAATTATATGTCGTAATATACACCGTGGATCCTCCTTTCTGCATTTGATTCAGAATTTACGTGCTGTTGTTAAATGCCATCGAGTTGGTTCGACCCATAGCGACCCTGTATAGGGTTTCCGAGCTGGTGAGCTTGAACCGCTGACTTTGCAGCTCAAACAGCTTGGTAGTCTGGTGTATTAACCCACAGTGCCACACCAGGACTCCAGATTATATATGTTGTTGTTATGTGCCGTGGAGTCGGTTCCGACTCATAGTGACCCTGTACATGGTTTCCGAGGCTGTAAATCTTTAAGGGAGCAGAAAGCCTCATCTTTCGCCCATGGAACAGCTGGTAGTTTCGAACTGCTGACCTTTAAGGTTCGCAGCCTTATTCGTAACGACTACGCTACCAGAGCTCCATCCAGATTATATATGGATCCTCCAAAATGAATTTCAGGACTCCTTAGGTTAAGAATCCCATCAATCACTTTATTTACAAGCTTTAGCAGCAACGGACTTTTAGGGGAGTATTTCAAATATTCAACTCCAACTCCCCCCAAAATAACAATTTGTCAATACTGATATATTTAACAGAACATACTATAGATTATTCTGTAAAGCCTTAAAGCAACTAGTTCCAAAAGTATGGTTCAAAAACAGTTTTGGCAATAGTATAGTATACACTTCTAAGGTAATAACTTTTAAGGGGACACTTTAATTATTACGCTTGTTAAAAATATGTCATCTTATTTTATAAGCATATAGTGGTGCCGTTGGCTAAGTACTGTTGAAGTCCTGCTTTGACACTGTAGGATACGCGCTCGCCCACAAGGTTGGTAGCTCAAACTCACCAGCCACTCCTCAGAAACCCCATATAGGGTTGCAACCGATTCAATGGCACTTAACAACAGGCTAAGCACTGGACTGCTAAAACAAGGCCTTCAGTTCAAACCCACCAACCATTTCTAGAAACCCTATGAAGGTTCACTATGAGTCCTAACTAACTCAAAGGCACTCTACAATGATAACAAATCTTTTAAGAGTAGCTCTTAAAGGTTAATACAGAACTCAAATTAAAGATTGACTTTAAGAACTTTGCAAATTTAATTTTTAAAAAGGAAGTCACCAATAAATCAAATAGCTTGCCACTCTTTTCTGTTAAATAATACACATTTTCACCGTTTGAAAGTTTTGAACAAGCAAAACAACTGAGACAGCCAAAACACCAATGGTGTTTTGTGTGCCACTGAATCAGTTCCGACTCCTAGTGACCTTGTATAGGCTTCCCAAGGCTGAAGTGCTGAGTTAATTCACTAGAATGTAAAGTCAGTTTGAACTGCAAGGTTAGTGGTTCATTCAAGCTCACCACTCGCTCCTTGGAAACCCTATACAGGGCCACCATGGGTTGGAACCAACTTGATGGCACTGAACAACAAAACCTTTACCAGAGCAGAAAGCCTCATATGTCTCCTACATAGAGGCTGGTGGATTCATACTGTGGACCTTGTGGTTAGCAGTCCAATTGTAAAGGAGCTCTGGTAGCGTAGCGGTTATAAACTGGGCTGCGAACCTCAGAGTCAGCAGTTCAAAACTACCAGCTGATCTGTGGGAGAAAGATGAGGCTTTCTGCTCCCGTAAAGATTTACAGCCTTACAAACCCTGTACAAGGTCACTATGAGTCGGAATCGGCACATAACAACAACAACAAGCTACCAGGGGAGTCCTGGTGTGGTGCTGTGAATTAATGCGCCAGACTGCAAAGCCATTTGAACTGCAAGGTTGGCGGTTCAAGTTCACCAGCTGGCCCTCGGAAACCCTATACAGGGTTGCTATGGATCAGAACAGAATCAATAGCACTTAACAACAACAACAAGCTACCAGGGATCCTAAAATTCTGGGCCTCATTTTAACCAAAATGGTTTTGTGACAAATTATTCTTTTAAAAAATCTATCTGATGTTACACTAAATTATATTTGTTTGGAAAACATAACTAAAGTGTAATAGATAACATGGCTCATAATGGTTTGCTCATCAACAACAATGATTTGTTTACTCAGTAGGAGTTCTTTAATTTCATTATTTCAGAACATAAAAGGCTTCAAAAAACTTCATGGAAAAATTATTGTAGTTCAATTTTTCCACGGATGTTTTTGAAGCATCCTCATAAATGAAAATAATATTTTAAAATGTCTTTTAAAATATTAAAAAAAATTTTTAGTTCAATTTCTCCACAAAATTTTTTTTAACGCACTCTCGTATATGAAAAGAGTATTTTAAAAGAGGAATAAGGCTGAACTGTGTTGATAATGTTTACACTAAAATACATTCTGTGAAACTTTAGTAAATATACTTGTATATTGTTAAAATTTGCAGACATTTGCAATACAACAGGACGCAGAAAATCAGTTTACTGTAAAAATTGTTAAAATAAATTGAATTGCAAAATATTTCTAATCTGACCACGATGAAAATGACATAGAAAGACAACCAAATAATCAAGCTGAATTTCAAGCAATACCTGACAGTGTGGAGACAAGAATAATAAAGAAGAAATGTACACAGGCATCAGTACTGCTGCCCGATGGGAAGAAGCTGTTGGCGCAGGAGATATCTTAAAAGACTCAGAAGAATTATTAGATCACCCCAAGACTAAAAGAATAAACTGATAAAATTTTGGCTTCGCTTTCCTTTGATGATGCAACAATTTTTTGTTTTGTTTTCATTTTCCACGCGTTATTAAACTTGGAGATTACTCTTCATTATTGTCTTTAAGCACTACATTTAACAATTCTGTCAAGGCGGCAATCAGGTGAGCAAAGGGAAAAGGTTAGTGAGCAGGCAAAGAAAAGGCAAGTGATGTAGAAAACAGACAAGAGATTACAGTCAGCAGCGAGGTGTCAGCAAGCATGAGTCACAAGAGCCGCGCAGTGGTGGAACAGGAGAAAGGGAGGGTCGGGAGGAAAGTAGTAAATATGGATTAAGTATAGGAGAGTAAACGTGTGACCCAGGCGAAGGTTAAGTATACCAAAGCGAGGCAGGTGGAGGAGGAATCAGCCCGAGGAGTTATCAGGGTGGTTATGGACAGTCCGCCCCCCGCCCTACTTCCTGCTGTCCGAGAGCAGCGACCAGTCACCTGGAGTGGGAGGTCCTAAGCGATTCGATCAGGCGCTGCTTCTGCTGCTGAAGGCTGGTGAGACCACCGGGAGACCCAGCTGCGGAGGACGAAGCGCTCTTAGTCAGCGGAAAGAGCCAGCTCATCCTCCTTGGGTCCCCGGGCCCAAGGGCCTAGAAGGCGCTGGCTTGCTTCTTTCAGCTGCTCAGCGCGGCCGTTCTCCACAGAAGGAAGCGCAGGGCAAGTGAGCCCGGAACCCAAACGCTTTGGTCGCGTCTTCTTTAAGTAAACCTGGCTCGAAGTCCCAGGGTCTCGAGGAGCATGCTATGACTGCTAGTAGATGGAAAAGGAGAGCTCGCCGCTCGGGACAGGAAGTTCCACATTCCCAACCCAGACGTCCAAGTGAGCGAGTCAGGAAGCCAGACCGCTTAGCACTCCGCCACCCGAGCCTCAGTCACCTGCACACCCCGCCCTCTCCCGCGCGCTCCGCCCCCTGTGCGTGTTACATCATCATCCGGCGCCCCTGTGAGGACGTGCAAGAAGCGACGGCGCAGCGCGGTGCGGCGTAGCTCCGGCTCCCCTTTTCCCCTTGCTGGGTGAGAGGTGTCTATGGGGCACCCGCTGCCGCCGCCGCTACCGCCACTGCCGCCGGGTGCTGTATCTATGGCGAGGAGGAAGAGGTGGAGCGCGAGCTCAGCGACACAAGTAGATTTTGCGTCTGCCGAATACTGGGGGGGGAGGGGAAGGTTGAGGAAGTAGAGAGGGGGCGGGACGATGAACCTGAGAGGGTGCACGATGGCGCCAGCTGGAGCACGGCTGGCGGAGGAAAGAGCTTGGCAGTGGGAGTGGGGGAGGGTAACTGGGGTTGGGGTATGTCACGGTGGTAGCGCTGAGTGATGACGTAAAGGCTTTGTACCTGGGTCTTCGATGTTGTAGGGCGGAAATTGGGAGTGGAGGGCGGTGGCCCAGATGAGCAACTCTAAAGACTGCACACAACCACCACCACCCCATCATACAGCAATGCTTGCGCTCAATCTGGCTCCTCTAAATGATAATCATCACCTTCGCGCCGACTTTTTGCCAGTGAAGAGTTATCTGTGAATCGATGCTGGTGTGTGGTCTTTTCATTTCTCTGGTAGCCAGCATTATGAAGATGCTACCGCCAGTAATGTTAAGACCCCTGGTGCCTCTTCTGGGATTCAGGAACTAGACAGAGACAGAGTGTAGCTAGCGATGCTAAACTAGGGGTCTTTCCAAAGTGTCTGTGTGTTTGCATGTAGTTAGTTTAGCATGGTGCGGAAGGGGCTATAAAAGGGATATAAAAGAGAGGTCTGATGGATTTCTTTCGGTTCCTGCTCTTGGATCACTCGAGATTACCCTGTTAATTTGTAAAATTCAGAAGGGATCTCAAGACCCATCCTTTTATCTTTGTTTCTGCCTGAAAATAGACACATATTTGGCGTTTACCTGGCTGGCCAAGAATTAAAAGTCTGGTCTGTATTATTAAATAACATGAGCCTTGTGTTTATGGTGTGGTGTTGTTGGTGTTATGTGCCTTGAAGTCGGTTCCGACTCACAGCGACCCTGTACAGGGTTTCCGAGGTTGTAAATCTTTACCGGAGCAGAACGCCTCATCTTTCTCACGCGGAACAGCTGGTAGTTTCGAACTGCTGACCGTGAGTTTAGCAGCCCGATTCATAACAAGTACGCTACCAGAGCTCCTTCAATGTCTAGAAAGGTGAAATGTGTATTTGGTAAATAAGAGCAATTGCACCAATTTTTCAGAAATTAGAAATACAAAATTTCAAACACAACACTGTACTTTCATTCTCTAGCAGTTACATTCAAACAATTTATGTGACTGTATTTTTCAAAACTAGTATGCTTTTAAATGTATTCTCCTGCAACCTGCTTGAACAAATGCCAGTCATTTCTGTAATCAAGTCAGATTTTGAATATACTGTTAAAGTAGAATAAATGCAAACATTACCTTTGCCCTATAAAGGGTATATGTTGATTGTTAGGCTATCAATATTTAACTTTTCATTTTTATCTGAAAATGACTTCATTTTTATTCAGAATGTGAGTCCAATTATTCAGAGCAATCTTTAATTATAGGGAATTTAAAAAATAACCAGTATATATAATATTTTAAAAATATACACACACTGAAATTAAGAGTCCTGGAGTGGCGCTGTGGGATAATGAACTAGATGTATGGTCAGTTTGAACTGCAAGGTCAACAGTTCAAATTCACCAGCTATTCCTTGGAAACTGTAGATAGACAGGGTCAGTAGGAGTCGGAGCCAACTTGACAGCATTTAACAACAGCAACAACAATATAAAATGCTTTTTAAAAGCAGACACACTGAAATTAGAACCAGGAAACCTGTGTTGTAGCCCTGGCTTTTCTACAGGTTAACCTTAGATTAGCTAAATCACTTTCTAAACTTTGATTTCTTATAAATCCAAGGCTTTGAATAGTCTGTCAGGCCTCGATTAACTCTTACTACTCTGGTATGACTTACTTTTAACTTTTGATTTTTCTTTTAACAGGTACACAAATAAAGGATAAAGTATTTTATGAAACAAATCTTCAATCAAGTATAACATTTTGATGCTTGGCATCTAGACGCCTTGTGCCCTCACTATGCCAGCAGCAACTGTAGATCATAGCCAAAGAATTTGTGAAGTTTGGGCTTGCAACTTGGATGAAGAGATGAAGAAAATTCGTCAAGTTATCCGAAAATATAATTACGTTGCTATGGTATGCCCACCACCAAATCTTTAAAATGTTTCTTTTTAGAAAGGAAAGAGGGGCTTGACAGTGTCAAGAATTCAGCTCTTTCATTTGATTTTTTAGGGACAGATTTAACCATGAAAAGAAAAGTTTTTTTAATGTCCTCCAGACAGAAACCATCAGGAACCAGTTAGGTTTAATACGCAGGAGGGAAAGCATATAGGGAATCCTTAGATGTTTACCTAAGCAGGTTTTACAAGTAACTGCAAGGATTTGAGCTTGTGGCAGGTGATTTTAGGGAGGCTTATGGAAACAGGTGTAGTGCTGAAGGATAAGCATTGGACTGCTAACCACAAGGTCCATAGTTCAAACCTACCAGCTGCTCCTCAGAAACCCTATACAGGATTGCTATGTGTCAGAACCATCTTGATGACACTTAATGACATAGGATATGGCTTGGATTGGATGCTGTCAGGAAGCAGGGTAGTTTTATTGTTGGGTATTTTAATCTTAACCTGATCCAGGAGGACTAGACTGAGACTAAAGCTGTAAAGAAGCAACAGTTGTTCATTTAGCCAGGATTTGAGGAGAAGGGGAAGGGTATTTGGTCATTTTTGTAGTTTGAGCAATGTTTGTGTTTTTTTGTCTGTGTTCAGACATGATTACAGAGTGACCTTGTCTGATGTTTCAGTTCTGTGAAATTGTTTCAATACTAGCACGTGTTTAAATTTAACCTGTAGCAACCCTGTAGGACAGAGTACAACTCTGCCCAATAGTGTCTCCAAGGCTGGAGTCTTCATGGGAACAGACTGGCACATCTTCCTCCTGTGGAGTGGCTAGTGAGTTTGGACTACTGACCTTTCATTTAGCAGTATAGTGCTAAGCCACTGCACCACCAGGGCTCCGTAATAAAGGTGTACTTACTGATAATTTAAAATTATTTTCTGAACCATTGGAAATTTCATAATCATTTCTTAAAATGATAAAGTGCCAACATTAGAGAAATGGTGATACACTACAGAATAAGTGGGTGGCATGAAATTCTTGACAACATGCTTTCTGTAGATTATAGAGAATTGTTTTAACTGAATTTAAGACGCTAATAATGCTTTTCTTATAAGGTTTTGTTGATTAAACAAACTCTCAGGAGCAATCAGAAAGTACATGCATTTTCTGCTGTCCCTTTTAGCCAGTTCTTATTTTTCAAACTGGGTTTTAGCATTAGAATAATGTGAGCATAGTTGAACATACCCTTTGTTGTTGTTGTTAAGTGCCATTGAGTTGGTTCCGACCCATAGCGACCCTGGATAGGATTTCTGAAGAGCAGCTGGTGAGCTTGAACTGCTAACTTTGCAGTTCAAACGGCTTTGCAGTGTGGCACATTAGCCCACAGCGCCACACATACCCTTTGTTGTTGTTGTTAAGTACCAATGAGTCAATTCCGATCCATAACGACCCTGTATAGGGTTTCCAAGGAGAAGCTGGTGAGCTTGAACCACTGACCTTACAGTTCAAATGACTTTCCAGTCTGATATATTAGCCCACAGCACCACACCAGGACTCCCTTTAGGAGACATGAATTATGATTCTATTTCTTTCCCTGGGTATAGAGTGTTCATTATTATGTGTCTCTGCAATGTATAGCAATTTCTATTGATTGTGTGGTGTAGTGGGTTACATGTTGAGCTGCTGGCTACAAGGTCAGCAGTTCAAATCTACCAGCTGCTCCTTGGGAGAAAGATGAGGCTTTCTGCTCCTGTAAAGATTTACAGCCTCGGAAACCCTGTACAGTATTGCTATGAGGTGGTATTGACTTGACAATATATAGCAACAACATGATTCTAAAAATTCCTAGTTAGAATTTTTTTAAAGTTACTTGAATATGAATGTATAGATTATGACTTATAAAAGGATTCTTTGACTTGCACCCCATAGTAGTTTATCTAGAAGTTTGTGGATTATAAGTTATACCTGTTGAATAAATAATGTTAAAACTACTTTGCAGGACACCGAGTTTCCAGGTGTGGTTGCAAGACCCATTGGCGAATTCAGGAGTAATGCTGACTATCAGTACCAACTATTGCGGTGTAATGTAGACTTGTTAAAGATAATTCAGCTAGGACTGACATTTATGAACGAACAAGGAGAATACCCTCCAGGAACTTCAACATGGCAGTTTAATTTTAAATTTAATTTGACGTAAGTAGAAAATAAATACCACCGAAACTTTTTGTTTGTTTGTTTGTTTAATTTTAGAAAATTATATCCCTAAAGTATGACAGTGGTGATGGTTGTGTGCCACTGAATCAATTCTGAGTCATAGAGACTTTGTATAGGGTTCCGAGGCTGAAAATCTTTATAGGAGCAGAATGCCTCACTTTTTTCCATTGGCGTGGCTGATGGATTAAATAAAACTGCTGACTTTGTGGTTCACAGTCCAACTCATAACCCACTACACCACCAAAGATCCTTTAAAGTATGATAGTGCAATTTAATTTGATATATTGATATAGTTCAAGAAATATATCAAACCTAAAATTTCAAAAGGTATGGTACCTTTTTTATTATATGGACCAATAAAAATGAGGATAAAGAAAAACTGTTTTAGAATCAAATATTTTGAATTTCAGAGATGTTGTTTTTAAAAGTGTGGCTACCATTATTTGTTTTGTTTTTGGGGGGGTTGGAAATTGGGGTATTTTAAATACTTCGTGATTGAAATACAATTTTACAGCATGGCTTTTACTTCCAAGCTTTTTGTGTTGCAATTTAAAATATATACATTGTTATAATTCTTGTGAAAAGATTTTCATTACAGTTACTCCAATTTGAATAGATTATAAGGGTAGTAAGACATTTCTTGAAAACTTGGGTGCTTTATTTCTTTTGTAAGCAATGTAATGTATTGATTATGTTCCTAAATCAATTCACAGAACTTCTTTTAACTTATATATGGAAGAATAGTCTCTTTAATTAAGTCTTTTGTTTCTTTCACATCTCTGTAAGAATCATAATTCTAAATCAAGTCCTTTGCAAAAACCCAGCCTCCTTAGTAATGGTTGCTGTCTAATGGAAATTTAGAGGATTAGAAGACAAATTAACACACTGTAAGTTGAGGAAGTAAAATGTTTATAGTAAAATGTTTACAATATCAAATGTCTTAACAGCTTGTGCATGATGTTAAATTTGTTGTTAAGTGTCATTGAGTCCGTTCCGACTCATATTGACCCTGTGTAGCATTTCTGAGGAGCAGCTGGTGGGTTTGAACTGCCGTTCTTGTGGTTTGCTGTTCAGTGCTAACCTACAGCGCTACACTAGGATATCTACTTTAAAAAAATAGTAAAATAAGCTGTATAGCAAGTACTATTGGCAACAATATTAGGACCTCCACGTTTTTCTGTTGGTGTAATGTGTTATTTAGCATACAAGATCTAATGAAAAGCAGGGCTGGTGATTTTAGAGGATGTGGTGTCACTGGTGCAATAGTATGGCTTATAATTGCATTGCGTTTATTCTGACTCTACGGTTTACTCTATTGGGTTTAATAACTTACACTCCAAAGCTTTGTACAGGGTAAAAAAGTATGCATTTGCATTCCAGTAAGTACTATAGCTGTGAAACAATATTACCTCCTTTCCTTTTTCCAAAAGACAACCCTTTCCTTAGTTAGTTCTTTATTATTTCATTTGTTCCATGTGGATACTTTTCTAGGCTATTCATTAGACTTTTTACTAAGATACTATTGTGAATTTAGTACATGAAGGAGGGGACAACCTACTAGTGTCTCAGCTTATAAACTTAATACTTTTCTGGAATGACTTTATCTTAGTAATAACTGCTTGGTTAATACCATCTTTGGAACATTTGTTCTTTCTCTCTTGCTCAGAGAGGGTGTCATGTTAGTTTCTGATAATTTGTTTTAGAAAAATAATGAAAACGAATTGTCAGTTGGTGCTGGTATTATCTAGTATGAGGAGAGAGAGTACAACAGAACAGACTGAAATTATTGAAGAAAAGTGAAAATTGACTTTTTATTGAATGCCTAGAATGAGTCCTGGTGTGGTGGTAGGATAAGCATTGGACTGCTAACTGCAAGGTTGGCAGTTTAAACCTCCAGCTCTTTATGCATACAAGTAGTCCCTAGGTTAAGAACAAGTTCCATTTTTTAAGTGTTTCTTTTTGGGGGTGTGGCGTCGGGGTGGGAGTTTACAAAGCAAATTAGAGTTACATTCAACAATTTTCCCATGTTTTGTGACAATTAGGATTCCCTTAATGTAACAGCACTCGTCCCACTTGGTCCCTGGGTTTTCCATTTCCATTTGCCTATCTTTGCTGCCCATCATGCCTTCTGAACTTTGTTGTGGGACCCTTTTGATCTTGTGTGCTTGCTTGTTCTGAGGAGCACATTTACATGGATGTTATTTTCACTTTATAGTCCTGTTTGTTGTTTGCCTGAAAGGTAATCTCTGGAAGCGAATTTGGTTCCAGGCTTGAAGGGTGTCTGAAGGCCACAGTTTCGTTTTACAACAGTCTCTATCCAACCAGTAAACAAGCCTGTTCTTTTTCATTATTTTGAAGTTTGTTCTTTATTTTGTTCCATTCTGTCCAGGATCTTCTACTGTGAACCTAGTCAGAGCAGTCATTCTGCTCTAAGGGTTGGACTGCTAACCACAAGGTCAGTGGTTCAGACCTACCAACGACTTTGTGGGAGAAAGAGTCTCAGGAGTCCTATATAGAGTTGCTATGAATCAGAATTAATTCAATGGCACTGGGTTTTTAGTGCAAGAAAAGTCTCCAAAGCCCTTTCTATGATTTAAAACCTGCCCATACAACAAGTGAAGGTGATTGTGCTGAAAATTTGTTGCAAGTAGGGATTGGTTCAGTTATTCAAAAGTGAGGGGAAATTTGTTTAACATTTAAGGGCAAGTACATTTCTGGTGTGGTGCTGTAGAATAGACACTAGCCTGCTAACTAAAAGGTTAATAGTTCAGACTGACCAGCTGCTCCTTGAAAACCCTATACACGGTCAGTATGAGTGGGAACCGACTCAGTGGCACTTAAAAACAACATTCTTTATGGAGCCCTGCTGTGGCACTGTCAGATAAGCCCTGGACTGCTAACCACAAGGTCGGCAGTTCAAACTCATGAGCCTGTTTTTGGAAACTCTATATAATACAAGGTCATTGTGAATCAGAACCAACTAGACACTGAACAACCATTTTTTCTGTCATTGTATATGAAAAATGCTGGTAATTTCTTAGAGAGCAATAGATGGGAATAAAATGGTTTAGATGAGACAGAAGTTAAATTAAGTTTTCGCTGATGAGATGAAATCTTACTTGACATAGAATGGCCGTTAATTGAAGTGAAGAATGAACTATTTTTGGTCACAGTGTCCTGAATATTGTGTTGTTGCTGGCGGTGTTAGGTCTGTCGAATCAATTCTAACTCATAGTGATCCTTTGAACAGTACAACAAACCATTGCCCATCTCCTTGCCATCCTCACAATTGTTACTGTGTTTGAACCCATTATTGTTGCTAGTGTGTCAAGCCATCTCTTGGGAGTTGGGGGGGAGACGGGGAATTAGGGAGCTTACTCATTTTTTCTATGACTTTCCACTTTACCAAGCATGATGTCCTTCTCCAGTGGGTTTTCAGAAAATCATTTAGGCCTTCGGTGATGTGACACAGATAACTCCCATGCAGTAAATAGCAGGAAGCGTGATCATGGTACCTCTTTACAAGCTATTTTTTGTAGGCATCCCTTTTACAACTCCTCCTCCATTCATCTTGAAACTTAATATAATTAAATTTTATAAGAACTTTACTCAAAGGTTTCTTGCTTTCTTTTTAAGTACTATTAATATCCAGAGTTTGAGTTCCAGGCAACAGGTTTTCCTCTCAATTATTTTAATGCTTGCTAACCTGGTAGTGTAGTGCTACGAATCGGACTGCGAACCTTAAGGTCAGCGGTTCGAAACTACCAGCTGCTCCGCGGGAGAAAGATGAGGCTTTCTACTACCGTAAAGATTTACACCCTCGGAAACCCTGTACAGGGTCGCTATGGATTGGAACCGACTCGACGGCACTTAACAACAACAACAACCTGGTAGCGTAGTGGTTACGAATCAGGCTGCGAACCTTATGATCAGCAGTTCGAAACTACCAGCTGCTCCGCGGGAGAAAGATGAGGCTTTCTGCTCCCATAAAGATTTACAGCCTCAGAAACCCTGTACAGAGTCACTGTGAGTCGGAAGCGACTCCACGGCACATAACAACATTCATAAGTATAGGTCAAGTTGATCAAATTGTAGCAATTACACTTGTTTTCTTTATCAAATTTCTTTCTTATCAAGCCATCGAAGTTGAGTTCTAATCAAGCCATCGAAGCAAGGTCAGATGGGTACTATCTAGCAAGTTTGGGCATTCTTGTGTGTCTCCCCCAACTTCATATTAGCTGGATGCTTCACAGCTCTAGCCCTGCGTGGCTATGTCAGTGTCCATGGGCTCAATGGCTTCCAAGTCTCCCCAAACCAGCCCTTCCTCTTCTCTCTCTCATCTCCAGGTTGACAGGAGTCTATGGAACATGGTCATACTCAGCCCTTATCTTCATTACTGCCTTTCCCCCACTTCCACTCACAAATGGACCAACATGGTCACCAACAAGCATACATGCCTGCTAGTGTGTTCCCTTTGAGATTTAGTCTTGGAGGGGGTGTTACAATGATTTCAATGATTCCTTCCTTCCTTTTTTGGATGCTTCCTGTGTCATTCAATATTTTGCCCATAGAATCTTTCAGTATTGGAAAGTGAGGCTTGGATTTTTTTCTTCAGTTTTTACTGAGTGTACTCATCCCTTTTGGTTTTCTAATCCCTGGTCTTTGCATATTTCATTTTAATACTTGAGTTTGTCTTCTCAAGTTGCCCTTTGAAATATTCTGTTCAGCTGTTTTACTTCATCATTTCTTCCATTCACTTTAGCTTCTTAATCATCATCAGCCAGTTTCAGAGTTTCTTCTGACATCCAATTTGTTCTTTTTATTTTTTTGTCTTTTAAAAGACCTTTTGCTTTCTTCATGTATGGCTTTTTTATGGCATCTCACAATTTATCTGATCTTCTCATGCATCATATCTGTTCTTTACATGCTGTCTATAAAGAGATTACTGTGAGCATGCTCTTGAAATTTTTCCTTAAATT